ATTTGAAGGGAAATTTAACCCCAAATTCAACACTGACCTCAAAGGTTCTGAAAACAGGTCATCAAACGTTAAATTTGATGAATATGTCAATTGGAGAATCGAAGGGAAATTATTCGCCAAATTCAAAAGTTGATGGTTATTAAAGATTATCAATAACATAAACCATATCCAAAGCACATACCGAAAAAGCTGTCGCACTTCACCCCAAACACCCCCACGATAGCGCGGGAAAACTTAATTTTGCTGTATTTCATCCTCGGATTAAATTTCGGTAACAATCTCATTTTGCCAGCTGATAGGAATGTTGCCACCAGCTGGTAAGAGGCAACTAATAAACCGGTAGCAGTCTCCTGCTATTCAGTAACAGTCTGCTACCAAACCGGTGTGGTCATATATAGACACCGTCTGGTAACGATTTGATAAAATTTTGTTTTCAGTGTATTTACGTCATCCATGTCGTCTAATCGAAGAGAAATGTTACTAACAATGCGATGGTGTGAAGTGCAACTATCCAATTTGGGTGAAATTTCGTAATTGAGTGGTTGAAGTCAATGCAACCAATGTTTCGTGCACTCTAAACAAAAATAACTAAAATTTGTCCAAGGTTGAATAAAAAAGAGGATGACACAACCACTTGAATAAAATTTATCCAGCGCCTGGAGAAATTTGACACAACGGTTGAATACATTTTCCACAACTTGGATGAACTTCACACATCGGTTGGGTAAATTTTACTCAACTGGTTGTGTCATCCTATTTTTTGCTCAATCTTTCTAAGAGTGTGAGGCAGTTTGTGGGATGGTGGAAATTTGTCAAAATATTTAAGCTCAAATTTGAAAAAGGGTGATTCCTCCATTTAAAAAGCATGGAAGTGGAGTTTCCTTCCACCGCTTTGCAAAAATCGCCCCTTTTTCTTAGATGAGGAAAAATTAAACACCAAACAAATCTCTGGGGTCAAAAAAATGTAAATAAATATTATCAAAATCTGAGCAAAATTGGATTTTTGAAGTTTGAAACTTTAACAGTTATAATCTGTTGGAGGGGGTGTGGCGGGCGCAAATGTGGCCATAGAGTCGAACCACTTTACGGTTATCCATCACTCGCATGGGGGACCCACATATGCAAAGGGCATCAAGATCTGAGGAGTAGGAAGTCAGAGGTTGTCAACGCCAGATTTTGATACCTTTTGGATATGAGTGTACGAAAAGCGAAGAAGGGTTTTACTCCACGGCCCCATTTGCGCCCGCCACACCCCCTCAAAAGTGCGCCAAATGCTAAACTAGCCCCACTAAAACCTTCTCCAAAAATCCAATTTTGCTCGAATTTTCAAAAAATTACATATTCTTGATCCCAAATAGTTGCTGTACCATGTTCAATAGCAATCTCTACTTTTTCAAAATTTGCACTATTTTCGAAAGTTTTCTGAGCAAGGGTTTGACTTGAAAAAATGCGAAATTTCAAAAAAGTTAAGCTTGCTATTGGATATGATTAAGCAACTATCTGGGACCCCAAAAATGTAAATTTATCCAAAATCTAAACAAAACTCGATTTTTGGCGATTTTTTATTTGCGGAAATTCTCGCTGTTTTTGCACCTTTGAGGGGGTGTGGCGGGCGCAAATGGGGCCATGGAGTAAAACCCTTCTTCACTTTTCGCACACTCATATAGTGCTACAAGATATCCAAAAGGCATCAAAATCTGGTGTTGACAACCTGCGACCTTCTACTCCTGAGTAGCTGAGTAGGACATGTAGAGGGCCTCATACCACAGATTTAGGGGTACTCACACAAATATGCGTATTAAATATGTATAAAAATATTTACCAAAAGGACACCGATTTAAACCTCACAATCACAAATAGATCTGTCCTCATGTCAAAATATTTATTCCCCGTCATATTTCATAACAGCGAGTCGTTGTCAACGACCCACAATTGTTTAGAAACCTGAAATCTGACGAAGTTTTATTTTCCTTGGATTAAGTTTATTATTGGTTGGTATCAGAAAAACCGTGTAATATATAAAATTCCGAGAATTTTACTCTTATATAAAATTATTTTACACAAAAATAAATAAATCTAAGCTGAAAATATTTTACATTTTTACTACAAACAGTCACTACGAACAGTCACTACGGTTATTTTTGTGCATTTTTGTGCATTTTCATGCACTTTTCATGCACTTTGGTGGGTGTTATTAAACGTTTAAAAACATTTTCGTGCACTAATTTCGTGCAGGTGTTATTTAACAGCAGGAACACTGACTACAAAGTATGAAAATATATGCAAAGTGTACAAATGTGTATGCAATTAGTAATTAGCAATTACTAATTGCATATTGTTCTTATCTAAATTACATTTCACATAGTAGAGATTTCAAATATTATTTGTTTCACTGATTTTCCAACCCTGTTTAAATCCATAACTAATAAAGTTATAACACTCATACATATGTAAAATATGTAAATATCAACTGTCCATGTTTTTGAAGTATAAGCTTTATCACCAATTTTTACCACTTATATCAATGTTATTATCTAAATACTAAAAAGATTTCTTACATCAGTGAAAAAATTATAACAATTTGCCAGAAATAATTTGCAGGCCCAATTTTCTGGAATACACGAAACGTCACAAACTAAATTCTATGCCGTCCATTGGCATATGAGCTTTCATCCCAAATTTAGAACACCAGTCGACCCTGTGTTTCGCAAAATTGACCCGTGACTGGATATGGGACAGCATTGTCGACCATTGGTATTGACGGAGAATTTTCCACTATGAACAACATCCCGTTATTATTAGCTCACCCTGCGTAGCAGAGGAGCTATTGAATTCCTCTTGTCCGTCTGTCCGTCCCTCTGTCTGTCTGTTTACGACTCTTTTGCATCAATTGATGCTAATTAGAGCCAGTTATTGGCATTCCTGACTGACTTATTAGCACCACTGATATCGAACAATCGGAGACTCAAAATGGTGCGAAACAATTGAGAAAATATATGCTAAACGCACCAAAAGTGCAGAAGAACCGTCAGAAGAACACTTATGATTTTGACGTCAAATTTTTTAAGGTTTTATGTCAAAATCATGGTTTCTCTTCCCTCGTGTATTTTGCACCATTGGTGCAAAATTATATCCCAATTACATATATCTTTATTCCGCATATTCTGCAACATTTTGGCAAAATGTAAAATTTTGCCAAAATTACGTATCTATTTTATCTGCACCATTGGTGCAAAATTATACCAAAATGGTTATTACAGGGTGAGCTACTTCTAACGTTACAACGGTTTATTTAATATTTCTTTAAAAAAAGAGTTAGAATCCAACCAACTTACGGAATGCTACCCACTCGGAATTTTCAAAGTACTTAATTAGCAATGAAAGCAGCAGCATGACCAGCAATAAGAACAGCAATATGTCCAGGTAATAGTCCATTTCTGGGGTTAAGCTCGATTTGTCACCATATTCCATTGTATTGATCGCAAATATTAAACTTTATTAAAATTTAAATATTGTGAAAACTTATTATTAGCTCACCCTGCGTAGCAGAGGAGCTATTGAATTCCTCTTGTCCGTCCGTCCGTCTGTCCGTCCGTCTGTCTGTCTGTTTACGACTCTTTTGCATCAATTCATGCTAATTAGAGCCAGTTATTGGCATTCCTGACCGACTTATTAGCACCACTGATATCGAATAATCGGAGACTCAAAATGGTGCGAAACAATTTAGAAAATAGATGCAAAACGCACCAAAAGTGCAGAAGAACCGTCAGAAACACCTATGATTTTGACGTCAAATTTTTTAAGGTTTTATGTCAAAATCATGGTTTCTCTTCCCTCGTGTATTTTGCACCATTGGTGCAAAATTATATCCCACTTACATATATCTTTGTTCCGCATATTCTGCACCATTAATGTAAAATTTTGCCAAAATTGCGTATTCATTTTTTCCGCATATTCTGTATCATTGGCATAAAATTATACCAAAATGGTTATTACAGGGTGAGCTACTTCCACCGTTACAACGGTTTATTAATATTTGCGGGAAGTGTGAAATAAGGTCTGGCTAAAAAGTGTTGCGTGGCAGAGTGAACCCATCTACACGCATAATCCGTGTCCATATCTACTTACAAAAACAGGTTGAACATAAGACAGATTTTCCAGGGAAATGTGTTCTTTCTTTGCAACAGGTGAAAGTGAAGACGTATCCTGTGTAGTTCGGTCGGATTCGAGATGTACAAAATTATTGATTCCCTGTTTATAAGATTCCGACTGACAACTTGGATGAAACCACTGTACATACATAGATCACATAAAAAGGAGGAAAAACGGGCACTAAAAGCCACTAATTTTCCACTTTTCGAATTTTGCATTACACATTTGCGCGTTTTCTCCTTGGATGCAAATACTTATACACGTCAAACCTTCTCATTGGAAGATAGTTGTACTTGTACTTTTGTTGCACTTTTACGTCCCCATATATGGGAATTAGTCGTCATCCTGCGGGTGGAAGACAATTGTCGTTTCCGGAAGGTCACTGATTTTTCAGGATTTTCTCTCTGCGACGTAAGATATTCTTTCGTTTTGTCGGATTTTTTCAATGTTAATCAAATCTTAAATTTTAACATTTTCTTGCCAAAAAATGGGAAATTTTCAAATATAACGCAATGTTAAATTTTTGATTTTTAAGTTGTTTCGAGTTTTGTCAAAATTACTGAATTCCTCGTCCCACATCATGACTGCAACATACTTATAATGTACCCGAGTTAATGAATTTTTTCGTAGTTAATCATACTCATCAAAGCGTTGAAGTTGCCAAACAACATAAATCATATAATCATCACTTTGCAAAATTTGAAATTCACGGATATGTACAAGTTGAATGTTTTCCTATATTTAAATACTATAGATCTGTTATTCAATTTATATTTTCAAATCAAACTTATTTGTTCAATGTTAAGTAGATAAATACTTAACGAGATATTAATTTCTGTGCAGGCAGTAATTTATATTAAAATCTATAAGATTAAGAAATGGGGACGGTTTCGTGAAAAAGATGAATTTCAAGGCGTCCGCGCCACCGCAATGATATTGGAGCCTGGACACTTTAGGGAATAAGGCCGAAATTTTGGTAAGGATTAGAGGAAGTTGGTCACATCCGGTGACTTGGTGTAGATTTAATCCCAGTTTAGTGACGGATGGGAACTCCAGGTTTTGTCCGGGGTTGAAGTCTGTCAAGAAGGAGGACATGTTCGCACTTTTCCTGGAACTCTGTGAGGGTAGGTAAAAACGATAAATTAGGTGGGAAGGTAAGATTGGAAATAATGCTGTATGCACCAAATTGTTAAGCTATAGCAGAGTTACATATATTTGTACATGATTTGGTAATAACTTCTTACCCGACTGGTAAAAGTTTGAGGGGGTTGTTTTGTTGCTTTTATCGCATATTTATTGCCCAGTCTCAACTAGTGATTACAATCTCAAAACATTTAGCATTACATTTGGCGGGAAATCTCGAAAACTCAATGTTAAATATCTGAAACCACTAGTCTCACTTAACCAGCCCTTTTTTTAGCTCGAATCAGGGCTTATATACCCGTCACGTCCGTCTGTCCGTCTGTCCGTCTTGCGATAACTGTCATAAAACTAATCGTATCGATTTGAAATTTGGTACACATGTAGTATGGGTCAAATGAGTTAAGTTTGAAGATGAGCAAAATCAGTCAAGTGGTTGACCAGTGGAGGTCACCTAGATGGGTGGGGTATTATGCACCAAAATCTCAAAACAGTGCTAGAATGCTGAAATTTGGTGAAGGGGTTGGTGATGGGTCCTAATGGAAGAATATACATTCAAATCGGAAAAATTTCCATCTGGAGGGTCACCCATACCTATTTTTCAAAATTGCCATATCGAGCTGAAATTTGGCATGCAGGTTACTAATGGGCAATAATTGAAGAACATGAAGTGAAGTTGGAAAAATTTTTACTTGGAGGACCAATACCAATTTCCAGAAGTTGTCGTAAAAAGCTTAAATTAACCACGGTGATACTCAACGACTTCACATAAACGAATCATAAATTGAAAGTGAGCAAAATGCAACCAGAGTTACCCTACGGGACGACCCATACCGGAGTTTTAACAGCTGTTATTTCAGCGGAAATTTTGTCTAAAAGTTAAAAATGACTTCTGTGTGTGATAAAAGGCCAAAATCCGGTCAATTGTGACAAACATTAAGAAGCGGACTATGTCCCAGACTCGGGCTATATCAGGTCTGCACTGTAGGTTTTAAAGTTAAGTTAATACATACAAAGAGACCATTATCTTCGACACGAATCAAAAGGTTAAGGCTATTACCAGATCATGGTTATAAAATATGCAACGATTGAAATTATAATAGAAGTAGTACTTCTTACGTACATCTGCTTCGTTAGGATACACACAGAATAGTTCCAGGTTCAGCGATGTCGGTCGGTCGTTGGCAAAAAGGAGGTCACATTTCGTAAAATCTACGGTAAAAAAGTACACGTAGAAAGTAATCTCGCTAAGACGGAGGAATTGAAACAAAATAAATATGTATCGAGCAATTTAATTGGATTTAACAAACCTCAGGTATGCATGCGACAATGTGGGTGGTTGTGACGCGCTGAATATCCATAATTGTTTGCCTATACGATTCATGGAAGAAGAGGAAAAAAATTATGTATAGAAATATGTCGCTAAAATGTCACTAACTTAAAGCTAGTAACTTTAATAAACTTTAACTTTTGCCGCACTTTATTAACTACACATGTATGGGAAACCTCACGGGATAATTATTCCCACGAGTGTATTTATTAGTTAATTCCTTACCTACCTTTTATATTTAGGGAAATCTGATAATCCACCAGCCGAGATAAAAACTTGGACGAAAGTAAACGTTTTTTAACGGACCGGATTTAGTTGCTGGCTCAATAAGAGACATGTGGCTACTAGGCAACAAATGTTTAGTTTCCACATATATTCTATTTGTAGGTTTTTGTGAATTCTGATTTCTGGAAGGGCAAGGCAAAGTCTAGTTTTAAAATAAAATATCCTTTTTTAGAAAGGGTGGCTTCTTATTGGAAAGCATGGTTTAATCGGCGGTGAAAAAAGTTTGTTATTTAAATAGTTAATGTGGGCCAGCCCACGCATTGGGTGAAACTACAGGCATGAAAGGGAACCCGTAATTTTTGGGTGGAAAAGTAAGAAACGAGCCTAAGGTCAGACACCTCTTTCATACTCAGCTTATTTCTCGACCTCTCTTTTTGCTTGACATGCCGCCAAAATTCGTGACTGGTCTGTTCTCATATGTATAACAGCTGTCTGACAATGAAAGTGTCATATTTGTGCAGTTTGGTAGCCAAAAGGTTAAGCACCTTTCCTCAGAAAGGTTCTTTCCTTCTACAAGTCTAGGTATACCTAAACATCCGTATTTTTCATAATTCGTAAATTTGAAAGCGAGCCAAGATCTTTATGTTTCCGCGTCAGAACGTGGGGCTTGGATTTGAGGTTTTCGCTGGAAAACTATTCAAAACTCATAAACTAATAAAAATATATGTATTCTAATATCTTGTGATGAGCAAAATAAAATTTGCCTCAGCCTGATTTTCTCAGGGAAATATGAACTTTACCTAAAGACATGCATTGTTAGTTAAAAATTAAACTCAATACATTGCAGTTGAATGATAATATGATTCCAAAATATTATTGCTGTTGTGAAATATAAATATCAATTGATTAAATGTAATACCTTATAACAATGGTTTTATCATGCGGGAAAGCTCGCAACCACTTTTCCAAAAATTCCCCTTGCAATCTTGACCGGATTGAAACCAATCTGCTGTTTTCCTCCGATTCGTATACCAGGGTATAATCGTTATCAAATAGCTCACTCAGGCTGCGTAATTTATCGTTACGTGGTGGCACCACTAAATTCGCTGTCAAGAACAATTCATACTGTGCAAGCAGCATGAAACTTGTGAACAGCAAGAGCACAGCGATAAGTCTTGAGAAATGCTTACTATTTGACGGTTGCCTTAGAAAAGTGGCACAAATTAGTAGCACGATTACGCTCACATTAATTAGTGAACCTGATTTAGCCGAATTTTTTTCACATGTAATCAAACCTTTCGAAATTATTGGTATCACTATAATCGCCAATGTAATAAAACATATTAGCCACACCTCAGGCCTAAAAGGTGACACCCAGGCGATCAAATCGGAATTTTCCGACCATACATTGAAGTTACAGTATATCGCGTGGTACCCCTGATACCGGAATACAACATATTAACATTATCATATAGGTAGGCCCCCTGCTTTAAATTTTGGTGGAAATATCCAAACTAATGCTTAAGCCAACCAGAGTCATGAATCCGGACAAATGTGATATTTAAAATGTCACCAATCGTTAAATATTGTCTTTCGGTAATTACGCAGAATTTCACACTTGGGGCAATATAGTATTGTCCCTTACCACATATCCCTCCAGGAGCAAAATCATTCACTAGTTTTGCAGCGATGAATAGGTCATTTCTCCACCCGTGTATATGATACGTCGCTACCGATATGGTTCTAATCTTCGGAGTGTAGCTGATCAAGACAAACATGTTTTTGCAGTAGGCGCAGACAAAAAACCATTCCATTTCTAAGGGAAAAAATGAAATGGAGATATTTCTTTTTAAATGAATCGCAAAATTTCGGTGTTTTTAATTCAAATTCGTAGACCATTATGGAATACATTATGCGGGGCTTGTTCACACATTAGGATTAATGTGGAATGTGCCCAGCTTCTGTGGGCGTCCCGGGTGTGTAACAAGTATTCAGCTCGAAATTCGTTATCCTCAATGCCAAATTTCACGAAGACTGTTATCGTACCTACTCTGTTCACATAAAGTGTTACTCGCCCGGTATTTTTGAATCCGATAAGCTAAAATTAAAAGATAGGTTGTATGGTGTTCCTTGATTCAGTATCTATGATTAGGTACCAACCGCTTTTTCCTGATCCCACTACGTAAAAATTAATATAAGCGCAAGCAGAAGAGAACAGCCATCATTTTTTATTTTTACACCTAGCAAAAAAATATCAATTTTTAAAGTGGTGTAGCTTTTCATGGTCAGCTACTATGTCGTCGCCCAAGCTATTAAAATAATCTTAGGGAAGGGGGCAATTAATAAATGCAAAATTTCCGATCGTCTAAGGTCGCAGAAAATTCCTGGAATGTCCAACGCTACAAGCGCCAGAATACTACAAAATCACACTCAAGCGCCGAAGACTTTGGTCATACAGATGACCTGCAAACTCAGCAATCGGAAGAAAGCTGTAAAATGACCCCAAGATGAAGGCCTTCAATTATTCCCGAGTCCCACACGTTAACGATTCCGCAGGAATATGTCCGTGTAAAAAATGGCAAGGTCCTCCCAAGCAGGCACGGTAAAAATGCTGAAATTTTATTCTGTTTACCAATGTGAATATCCTCATGACGGAAGTGTATTTCAACAAACAGGATAGCACGTTTTATGTCAAATATATTAAGGATTAGACAGTTGCAAAAGAGGGTCAAAAGGTCACACCCTCCGGAGTCACTCTCAGTTTTGGCGGAAAGCGACGGAATTGGTCCAAAACCTTAAATTTCGTCGAGTGGGGGGTGGGGGTAGATGCAAAAAATTTTATTATTAACGTCCTGGCCAAGGTGAAACACCCCACCAACCAATTCATATCGGGTGGTAAGCTGTGGACACTTGTACAGGGCTCCACGCTAACAATTAGTGCGAAATTCGTGAAAAAATGGATTAGGATCCACATTTCTGACTTCATTTTACTTCATGTTTGACCTTGGCATTTCCCGACCTTAATCTACTTCAACACCAAATATTTATTAGAGTTGAAGAAAATGTATGTTCTGAGCCCCATATAAGTGTCTGGGTCACAAAAAAATTTCTGACCCCGGAATGCGACAATTTGTGCATGAATGGAGCGCGTGCCGCAGCGGGTGCTTGGCGTTCGCGAGTTCAAAAATTTAGCTACGTAGGGGGGATAAATTTTGAAGTGTGACACATGTTTTCTGTTCAAAATTTAACTGGCTTTTCAATGAAATAAAAATAAAATTTAAATTCCCAAAATTGAAAAAGCGGTTCCTGTTTATCCCAGTAACACTTTATGTGAACAGAGTAGGTACATACCTCGTAGAATTTAAAGTCATGCAACCTCTTCTTGTGATGGATAGATGGGATAGAAAGGTTTACCCGCCCATGAATAGTGTAGATTAGGTTGGTTGGATTGTTGACATGGATGAGGTGTTCTGTTAGGTCGGAATACTCAAAAGTATAGCTCATTCTTAGGAACTTGATTACGCAGTCGCCAAAGTGTCCAAAATGACCAGAAGGGAGGTTATCCAACTCTGACCTTGCTAACACAGTTGATAACAGTAAAATTGCTAGCCAAAGTTGTAAAAACATTTTAACTTTAAAATTATTTTGCTTCCAGCACACAGGTCAGTACGATGGCTGATATGGGTAGGAATTGCAATCTTGGCAAGGATAGATATGACTGCCTCCGCCTGGACTCGAAGCCAGAATCTCTCACGTGTAGCTTACGGTATGTTACCTTAACTACGACTCCAGTCCGAAATTCACCATTGCCTTTTTCCAGCCAATGTATTGGCCCACCATCATTCATTGTGTCAGAAATGTAAGACTGAATAATTTATTCTAAATTCGCATTCCCTAATACCTGGAATTTAGGGTATATTAATATATTACATATACTCGCTCACCCTAAGTTGCCTAGTTTTATTTTCTCATTATTTTGTGCAATAGGATTTACTCGGTGTTCAAATTCGTAAGTCCAATAAGCTGTCGTTTCACAGTATCTGCGTACATATACGGTATAATTCTACATATGCCCGCATCCTACCTATGAACAAAATGTATATGTATGTAAATAAATATGCTAAAATTTTTTGTTAGCTAAATATATACATATTTGCGTAACCATTATTGGGGTATGAGATTCAAGACTACATGTATAAATTTTGCGTAATTTAAGATGTATACTTTAATCTGTTTTTGGCCAACTTGATTTATTTGAAAAGGAACATAAAAGAGGAGACTCGCTGTGTGTAATACAAGGGTTGGTAGTTATTGTCAAGTGGTTTGTCACCACTTCGAACTTTGTTTTTGAAACTAGATGCTATTGAGAACTGCAATCAAGAATTCAAAAATCATTTAAAAAAATGTTGCCCGCTATCTAGTGGTTTAACCTCAAGTGAGAAAATATTAAAATTGTGATATATATCTGTGCCGTTACATCATTTAATTATGCTCGCCATTTTCGCCGATGTTACAAATTTTGAACAAAAACTTTTCCACAGAAAGCTTTACAAAAAATATTGTATTCGAAAAGTATGCAAAATGATTGCAAAACGTGTCTAAATTAAGATAATCAATCCAACTTATGCTTGAAGATAGTCCAGTAAGTGGGTTGTGACTACGCGAGCTACTAATGTTCTTAATACTTTCTTAGAAATGATAAATATACCCCATATTTTAACAGGAAATGAGTTTAGCAGTTCCCTCGGATATTAATCTAGAATTAAATATTTATGCTTCTCGGAATTCATGTCGTGCATAGTTTTTTATTCCACAGGTACTTATTACATAGATAGTCT